GGGGTTCTAGAAAAACAAATGGGCTCAGATGAAAATTAACATGGGGATACGCAAGGGAAAGAGAAAAGCATAGCGCAAACCTTTGAAAGAATCAGATTTAATTAAAATTTTTTTCTTAAAGGGAGAAAACAGAGTATCAAGGACTTTCAGAAAAACAAAGGCAAAGAAAGGAGGGGTTTATGTGTGTAAACAAATACTCATAAATGTGTGCGCTTAAAGAAGCCCAAGTAAAACAAGTTACATGCCAGGAGGTCAAACTTTATCCCCTTGGATGGTCTTCTGTCCACTCTTTGGACAAATCACTGGCCTCTTACAAGCTCAGTTCCTGGTTCTCATATAGATTCTGGACTGCAGACGAGAGAGCTCCAGACACTTGTGTCCACGTTCATGTGAAAGACCTGGAGTCCTGCCTCATGCTAGTCATCCTGATAGAACAACAGTTGGGACTTGTGTATTTCCTGTATTTGATCAAAAAAGAGGACACTGTAGGAAATTACCTTTTCCTTGTTTTGGGATTCTCTGTCCCATTTCCAAACTGCTGAAATTGACTCTGAGCACCACTGATGTAAATCATTCTGTAACTTTGGTAGTGTAGGTTAGTTTGGCCAACAAACATTTAACTACAAATGTGCACTCTCCAGACAGTCAAAACTGTTTGGGTACCATATAGAAACAGTTTGTTACATTTGTAGCATTTAATTTTGAAGAATTTTCACAATCCTTAGTGCTATTTTATGACTGTCTCTACTTAGTATAGATGGAAAACTGAGTTCACAAACACATTGAAAGGGTTCAAATTGCTGTCTTGTTAGCATCTATGACAGATTCAGATTATTGCATGTTTTAATTTGTGTCTACTGCTGAGAAGTTGAAAACCTAAGATCTAGGAAAATATGACTGGTCCAGTGGTGATAGGAGCTTTCTCTTGCTTTCTAAAGTCACCATAAAAATATGGATGAGTGTAATGCAAAATCATCAAATGTAGTTTGCTGAAAATACCAGGGAATAAATGCTATTAACAGGACCAACATCTACCTGGCAGGGAGAATATGGGGATTCTTGTCTAAGCCTGAGCAACTGAAGGTTTGTGAAACTTTAGTAACTACCGCAAACTGACCATTAAATGACATACATGACTGTACATCTGTGACAAGATAAAAAAGTAATTTTGAGATTTGCCTTTTAAGCTTCTAAAGAATTTAATGCGCCTGAATATGGATGGAAACAATTTGGTAGCGATTCCTTCAGAACTACCATCTACATTAGAAGAACTTAAAATCAATGAGAACAATCTTCAGGTTATTGATGAAGAAAGTTTATCAGGTATTTAACATTTGACTTTATGATATATGTCCATATAACCTTTCTTCTGTAGTTGTGTGGAAATTTTATTTGCAATATTGCTAAATGAATAGCTAGTAAAATTTTTTTAGGTCATGTTACCATTTTAAGTTGATAAAATTTATTTTAACTATTGACTGGTGAAACTTAAAAAAATGTATTTTAAACTGCCCGTTGTCTTAAAAATGCATTTTATAAATAAACTTTCACTGATTTCAGGTTTTCATCATTCACAATACAATAACTAAATTACAAATCCATAATATCCTAAGAGTTACACTAACATTCCCCACACAGCCAGGTGTTCTGGTGCTGTGTTTGTACTGATGTTTTTGGTATCAGTGGTGATTACACAGTATCATGGCTTGTTGAACGGGTCTCCTTAGATGCACAATACACCCCATACACAACTCCCACTGTCTCTGAACATTTTGCTGTTTTTAACTTGACATGTTTTGGCAAATGAGAATTATGCATAAAATATAAGTAAATAAGCAACTATGTGAGGCTGAGGGGTAATCCTACAAACAAAGTACATAAACTTTAGCACATGCACTCTATATGGCAGTCACTTTGGCTTTGACAGTCTTGTTCCCTAGAGGGCTGCTCTGGCATTTGTCCATGAGACATCTGCACCCCACAGGGCAAGACAAATGATGCCCTTGGGTGTGTGGTTGCCACGACAGCCTGGCTTTCCCATGGATGGATTTTAGTGAAGGTGCCCCACATTCTGTACATTTGATACAACTGGAATTTACTCTTAAGACTGTTTCTGGACTAGCTGGATAACTAAAGTCATATTATGAACTCTGTATAAAAGAGGCAGTATTACATATACCTTTTCGTGAATTCTAGCTATATCTTTATATGCTTCTTTAAGACAAAAACTGCCTAATTTTTCTTTTCATCTTCCTAACAGTCTAGTGTAGTTCTTGAAGTATAGTGCTTAACATTTTTTATTTGATTTGAAATATATTTATTAGGTTAATGTTGATAACCAAGCCTTTAAAGGAATAAAACAATTCCATTATTTCCTTTCATTCCTCAAAAAACTTCATAAGGAAAAAACACTTCTGGTGATGGGGAAAAAACAATAATGAGAACTGCCAAATCTGAGGATTACAGAGTTATGGAAATACTCTATTTCCAGATGGATTTCAGGGTACTTAACAAACAAAATTTGAAGGTCTTTTGTCATATGGAAAAGACATTAAAAAGTTCAATTTCTAACTGCTAGGTGAAACAGACCAAAGGAACACTTAATTTAGGACAAGTGTACTAATGGGTTACATGTGATCTACATGTGAGATGGTATTTCTAGCAGTGTTATCAAAATGACATGTTTTAAGCCCTTATTTGGAAGGTGCTCTCACACATTCCTACAACTGCTTCTCCACACGCACTTCCCCCTCGTGAAAAAATTTCCATATTCCCAGAGGGTTGACTGTGTTCTAGGGTGAACACTGGCCTCTTCCTTGATCCACCTCCCATCTCTGCAGTCTGAGCACCTCACAGGCCTTGGCCCTGTGCAGGCGGCCAGTGAGGAGACTCTGCACTGTCACCTTGCCCAGAGAGGCCCCTGTAGTGTGTGGCCCAAAGGCCTGTGTCTTTAGTCCCGTTCCAGTGCTGGTCCCTCAGGTACTGAGTTCTTAGTTCTGCTCTAATGCTGGCCCCTCAGGTACTGGGTTTTCTCTTGACTGCTGTAGCCACTGGGGCTCCTCAGCTCCTGTGAGTCCCACTGCTGTGGATGGTCAGGTTGGCTGGCAGTGAGCAAGGCAAGCCCAAGCACAGGCCACTGCCAGTGCTGTGACACTGCTTTTCTGGGTGGAAGCCCCTGGCTTGACCATCAGTGGCCTGTAGCACTTCTGTTAGCTCCCTCATGACCCTTCGGGTTTTATATATATAGTTCCAGAGAAGTGGGGAAGCAGGGCACTCCAGGGAGAGAAGCAGTATGTACAAAGGTGTGAAGAAACAAAACAATTTGGATGCTATGGGAAATCCAGTTTCATGGATCTTGGATGCAGTGTGTGATGGGGAGTGAAGAACAAAAGATGATGTGAAAAGGTAGGAAGGAACCACACAACAGACAGCTCTGCACATGCTATGCCGAGGTGCTGGGAGTTCATCCAGAATCCACTGAGAGATGTGCATACCCACTATAGAGAAAAGGAAGGTCTTAAAATTGAAGGGAAGGTGAAAAAATAGAAGGGGGGGATAGCAGGAAAAAACTGGACATGCTAAAAAATGTCCCTGTCTTCATTAATGTTTAAAACAAAACAAAACCCATGATCATGGTGTCCTTTCTAGCAATGGTGGTGGTGTGGCTATCCAGTCAGAATATCTATGAGATCAAGTTCTCACACAAGTCTACCCATGTCTATAACCTGTTATGTAGCTCCCCGCCCACAATGGGAAGGACATCCTACCAACTTCCTGCTAATAAATCCTCTTTCTGCCAGTCTAACCTACAAGAACCTTCTCTACCTCCATCCTGTTGCCTGTTACATATAGGAACGTACATACTATCTATGTATATACAATATACACATAAGCCAGAGAATAACCGTAAAGTAATGTATAATATTAATTTACATTGTTGTGTTTTGTTTCTCTTTCTTGTGAGGTTATGTAATGACCACCAGTCTACTTCTATTATCTATTTTCCTCTGAAAAACTTGTATTACATTCCAAAACCTCAACTATGTACTAGATAATTATGCTGGATTCTCAGTATCTTTAGTTGAGGAAATTAGAGTTTTGGTTCTATGAGGAAATAGAATCACTTATCATAATTTACTAGTTGGCCTCCATAATTCCTCTCTGTCCTTCAGCTGATGTTAAAAACACTAGCAGATTAATATTTTGTCATGCTGTTCCCTATCCAGAGGCTGCTTGTTGCCTAGAGAAGTAAAGTCAGACCTTATTTTCTGGTGCACAAAGGCCCTTGCACAGCCCACCTCTGCCCTCTCAACAACATTCATCCCCTCTTGCATATGGCCCACTCCAGGGCTGGTCTCTTTCCTACTCCTGAGCACACCCATGGGGGTTCATGCTTCCATGAGTTCACCTGGCTGCCTCACCCTCCCATGTCTACCTACATCTTTCTGTCTTGAGAATCTAGCCCCACTCACACTTCCGTACCACTCAGGTCTACACTGCCACCTCCTCCTTGTCATGTTCTAGAATCTATGATCTGTACTCCTGATGGTAGCGTCTTTTGTTTATCCTTAGACTATGTTTTACCTCTCTGATATGCCTAAGAGTAGGATCTGAGTTGCACAGAGCATTTCAGTGCAGTACCCACGACTTGAGTTGAATATGAAAACATCCCCTATTCTGAAAATTTTGGCCACTGAACAAACTCCAAAGTTACACCCTGAATGTCTGACTCAGATACCTCTGGGTATCTTCACTGCTGAGCTGTCCATTCTCCTTTAAGTTTCCAGTTGATTTGGTCATACCACTCCTGAGACCAGTAGAAACAATTTAGAAAAACCTTGTTTGTAAAAAGGCCTTTCTTGGTAGCTCGATCTGAATGTGCGGAGAATTTTTGATCATTCTCCTTTCAAAACGTCCATCTGGCTGCACTGTCTGCCAAGAGTGAACACTGTGATGGGAATTCACTGCTATAATTCTCTTGTTCAGAGACTGAGGGTTTGCCAGGCAGAGAGTGCTCCTTCAGTGTCCTGGAAAAAGGAACCACCCATTGCATTACATTCCTCATACATCCTTGATTATGCTGCCATTTCATACCTGTCTGTCTTTGCAAATACGTCGAATGACCCTCTACAACCTTCTACTTCTTATCTGCCTGCGTTCCAAGTCCCTGCTTGGCCATTGCTTCCTCTGTGGGGTGCCCTGGCCCCCCAACTCCCTCCTCTGGCTTCTGCTCCTTATACAAACTTTCCTTTCCATACTGTACATTCTTGACTTCCTTTGTCATAGATTAATTGACAATAAATGCATGGGTTTATTTCTGGGCTCTCTATTCTGTCCCATTGATCTATGGGTCTGTTTTTGTGCCAGTACCACACTGTTTCAATTACTGTAGCTTTGTACTATAGCTTGAAACCAGGGAGTGTGATATCTCCAGCTTTGTTCTTCTTTCTCAAGATTGTTTTGGCTATTTGGGGTCTTCTGCGTTTCCATACAAGTTTTAGAATTATTTGTTCTAGTTCTGTGCAAAAGGGTATTTTGATAGGGATTGAACTGAATCTGTAGACTGCCTTAGGGAGTATGGTCATTTTAACAGTATTAATTCTTCCAGTCCGTGTACAAGGTATATCTTTCCATTTATTTGTGTTGCCTTCAATCAGTTTTTTTTTCATGAATGTCTCTTGGCTTTCTGAGTACAGGTCTTTTATCTTCTTGTTTAGATTTATTCCTAGGTTTTTATTCTTTTTGATGCAATTGGAAATGGGATTGTTTTCTTAATTTCCCTTTCTGATAGTTTGTTGTTAGTGTATAGAAACTCAACAGATTTCTGTATGTTAATTTTGTATCCTGAAACTTTACTGAATTCATGTACTAGTTCTAATAGTTTTTTGGTGGCAGTCTCTAGGATTTTCTATATTTAGTATCATGTTGTCTGTAGTGGCAATTTTACTTCTTCCTTTCCAACTTGGATTCCTTTCACTTCTTTTTCTTGTCTGATTGCTGTGGCTAGAACTTCCAACACTATGTTGAATAAAAGTGGTAAGTTTGGGCATCCCTGTTTTATTCCTGATCTTAGAGGAAATGCTTTCAGCTTTTCACCATTCAGTATGATACTGGCTGTAGGTTTGTCTTATATGTTGAAGTATGTTCCCTCTATACCCACTTTGTTGAGAGTTTTTATCACAAATGGATGTTAACTTTTGTCAAAAAAGCTTTTTCTGCATCTATAATAAAAGATCATTTGACATTTATTCTTCAATTTGTTAATGTGGTGTATCACATTGATTTTTTTTTGTGGATATTAAACCATCCTTGCATCCCTGGGATAAATCCCACTTGATCTTTTGCATTTGGTTTGCCAATATTTTGTTGAGGTTTTTTGCATATACATTCTTCCGTGATATTTGCCTATATTTTTTTCTTTTTTTGTATGTGTGGTGTTTTTGTTTTTGTATGAGGGTTACAAACTTTCATCATACAGCACAACAATGATTTCTCTACAGGTCTGCCTCTCCTAGACCATGCATTCAGCATTGAGTCCTGTCTGATCTGAGCATTTGGGATTTGCAAAGTACTAGGGAAAAGGCTCTAAGGGGGCAGGGGGATACAAATAAAGAAGCTACAACATCAGTCCTCTAAATAAACTGAACATTTCACATGACATTTTGAAAGCCTATAGAAATTACATGTTTTTTAGTTATCCTAATGTCCCAATAATTTTATTTTTTTATAGACTTAAATCAATTGGTCACCTTAGAATTGGAAGGAAACAGTCTCAGTGAAACCAATGTCAATTCTTTAGCTTTCAAACCTTTGAAGAGCCTATCCTACCTGCGTCTGGGAAGAAATAAATTTAGAATTATACCACAGGGTCTTCCTGCTTCTATTGAGGTACCAATATCTTACTTATAATATTTTATATTTTAAATACAGTACACTATGACAAAACAAACAATATATTTTAAAAGGTTATTGTGATGCATATTAAACTCAATAGTTTTGGTGCTGTATACAGAACTTACTATAATTTGAGCACTGTTTTCAAACAATACAAAATTATGAATCAAAATTATAACTACTAGTAGAAAATCTTGATAAAGTGAAAATTGGTTCTGCCGACAGCTCTTGAGGAGAGAACAGGGAAGATGAACTGAGTATTCAAACAGAAACTACAACTTGCAAAAAGTACCTTGACTTGCAAAACTGTCTCAAACTGGAACTGTGACATTCATCCCAGTCTGTTCCACCCAGAGTCCCACATGGACTAGCAGTGACCCTGTGAAGATGGACAAGATTTGCAGAGAAGGCTGCTGACTGTGCCAGCAGCACCACTCCCCCACCCCCTTCCCACAGCTTACTAGTTCTAACTAGCTCCTACCAAGGGCCCAAGCACTGTCGTGTCTCCATCCCCTCTGGAGACACTCCCTGCTGCCCAAGTGTGTGGTCTCTCTTGCTACAACAAGGAACACACTTAACTAAGGGGGGTCTCTGGGGGCCTTCCCTGCTAAGTGTACGCCCCAACTTCCTGCATTAAGAGGCCTGGCAGATCCAGCTGACTCCTAGGCCACCTCCTCTGAGCTCTGTTTGTGCCACATACACAATCAGACAGCAGGACAAAGCTTCCCACTGCTGTGGATGCAGTGAGCCAAGAGAGGGCCATTAATCTCAATATGATACTGCTGCTACCACAGCCACCATGCTTCCTCTTCCTACTTCCAGATTAAGATAGACCTTTAGAATTTACCAAAATTGTAAAGATTGAGGTTCTATAACCTGGCTTTACCTCAGAATCACTTGGATTCTAAAGAAATACAGATTCCTGGACCTATCCCAGACATGCTAAATCAGGTTCTTTGGAGAATGGGGTCAACAATTTACATTTAAAAAATTAAAATTTTAAATAGATAATGCATGCACACAGTAAAACACACACACAACACTTGAATAGTACAAAAGAGCAATGTGTCTCTATTCCATGTCTGACCCTCTCATCCCTGGTTTCTCTTTCCAAAGACCCTCTCGCTAGCTTCTTGGGAGGTGCTGTCCATGCAAGTACATGTACTGTGAATCCTTCCAATGCACTGCTTCACAGCTGCAGTTTCAACATATAAATGAGTGTGCTCTGATTTAGGTTGGAATTTATACTTTAAAAAGCTCATGAGTGATTCTAACATACAATCAAGTTTAGGAACCACTGATCTAGTTCACCCCTAAATATGTATGAAGGTAAAAGCAAAAAGCTAAAAATCACTTTACTCACTTCCAACAATACCAAAATTAAATGACAAAGAGGGGGAAATTACTACAACAGGAATAGAAAGTTACTCTGAATATATATACCAATTGTACTTCTGAATTCCAACAAGATCCCTGAGTGAAAAATTCCTTGTAATGCCAAATGAATTTAACTTGAAGGCAGCTAGCTGTTGAAAACTTACTAATAGTTCTAGCAAACTTCACCCTGATGTTAAATGAAGGCTCTTAATTAACTGTTAATTAAAGTAATTATAATACAAACAAATCTAAAAAATGTGAGCCTAAAAAAATTACAGACAGCATGGACTGGTAGGAAGCAGGCTGACCTAAGCTGGGGCCAGCCAGCATGAGTTTCCCTCATGGATTAGCTGTGTAACTTTGCAAACATCTTGCCATCTCTCCAGGCCTGAGTTTCTCTATTGCTAAATGGTGATAATTTCTACTTATTTCCTACTTTCTAGGATCCTGAAGCCCAAATGAAATAATTTATATGAATAAGTTTTGTAAATTAGAAAGCTTTATACAATTATTATGGTATGCTATACCATATATCATTTTATGGTTAAAAAATAATTAAATAAAATTCATTTATTCCATAAGCATGACAGATAGTACATTTTATTTTACTAGTTAGAAAATCTGACAACTTAAAAATATGAACTCATTTTGAAGTGCTGCAAGACTCTTTAGCTAACACTAGTGACAACAGTCTATAACCTGATTTTAATTCTGTGAGATTGAATATATTTATCAACTAATATGAAAAAAATAAGTCTCTTCTCTTAATTATAGGAATTATACCTAGAAAATAACCAAATTGAAGAAATAACTGAAATTTCTTTTAATCATACCAGAAAGATCAATGTCATTGTACTACGTTATAATAAAATTGAAGAAAATAGAATTGCTCCTTTAGCCTGGATAAATCAAGAGTAAGTACATGCTACAATCTGACTTTCTTAGATGATTTCTTTCCTTTGCCATTATTAAACAGGGTATGAACATGGGCAAGTGAGGGAGGTGACAGCATTCTTTCTTAGTGAACCTCCCCCTACATAAAACTTGGCTATTTGCATAGACTTCAAACCGCTCATGATATGACTGATGTTAGGACGGCCATGGTCACTGCTGCTGGGGACACCCTACAGTGTGTAAGTGCTAAGCCCAAGCAGTGTGACCTTAGGTCTGATCACTGTTCTGCTCTCTGCTGACCTCACAGGCAGTCATGAAGTTTGAGTGAGATAATCCCCTACCCATAGTGAGGAAAGAAGCTGCCCTCCTCCCCGCTTCTCCCTCACCATTAGGTGGAAGCACCAGCATTCACTGTTCTATACCACACTGTCTTCATTCCTTCAAACTATTTCTCTATTTCAAGTGCTACAAAACAGACTAAAGAATGCCTGACCCAACAGCAGAAGCAAAAAGCAGAGCCCATCTTCCTGGAGAGGAATCAGTGGCCCCAGGCTGTAGCCTCAGTGAAGGGCAAAGTGTGGAGGCCTTGCTCATCAGGAAGGAGAGGATTAGCTACACAGGGAAGCAGGGTCAGGCCCTGGCAGCAGCTGCATCAGAGCAAATCTAGAGTCATGTGGTGAGGGAATGAGGGATCTGAGCGGCACCATGGGGACAGGCATCTTTCAGAAGCAGGACAGAGATGAAAAGAGGCCTTGAGGGCCAATTAGGTTCAGCA